GACTGCCCAGGGTACTCGCTCAGCCTCTTAGCAATGGTGATTTCATTTTGGACATCCCTATAAAGTGACTCTATGCAGGGCATATCCAAATCTCTTTTTTAGTTAGTGGGTAGAAGAGCAGCAATGCCAGCAGCTGGACTGGTAGCCTTTGCTCAAAAATGCGATTTCTTGTCACAGTGGTTACTTTGGGAAGCTCACAGGAAAGAAGCACGTTTCCTTTTTTTTTTCAGATTATTTCTGTTGTTGCAGAAGGTTAGCTGCACAGCGGATGGGCACAATGGAATTAGCAGCAGAGGCAGGGGTATCTACAAGCATGTGACCGTTTTTGTACGACATGTACGTTGTGCTTCTTCCTGAGAAATGCTGGGAACAAATTGTCATAGAAATGCAAAATACAGTTAGTCTGTATTGGGCTGAGGCAAGAAATGAGGGCCCTATAGCCTGGAGAGATGTGTATGAATCTGCGTGAGGAAAATGCTCCTTAATTAGATGGGTTGACAGATCCTGTTTCTCTTGCTCCTTCCGCAGTTTGCAGTGTTCAGTGTAGGAAACACCTCCCGAGCTCGCCCACTGCTGCCCTTACGGAAGGCCGGGCACACTCACCTGGAGTCCTCCATGCCATAGGGCTGGACGTCACCCAGACCTGGATCGTGACCTGTTTGGCTGGATGGACAACTTCAGCCTGGGAGGGGAGCCCAGCACATCCCCTGCCCTCTGCACGCCGTGTTCTTTAATTCTCCTTCCCGGCAGCTGGCTGGGCTCTGGCGTGGAGAGGACGGTGTCTGTCCCAGCAGGGCCTGGCCGGGCGCTGGGGCTGTGCCAGGGGCTCTGTCCCCTCCTCTCTCTCCTCTCGGCGCTTGCTGTGCTGCCCTGCCGAGCACCGCTGCTCTGAAAGTTGCTTAACAGACAATGCTTGACTCTATCTTGACAATACACCCTTTTCTTGAGAGAAATGAGAAGTTTCAATTTCAGTCACTAGCCTGTTTTTCATTGACCTGTTTTAGTCAGCAAGTCATGGCTTTACTGTGCCACTCTCTCAAACTGCCACTCATGAGCCTAACGAGACTGTGGAGCAAAACTCCTCTCCTCTGCAGAAAATGCAGAGAAGAGACAGTTTTACCCCAAACATTAGAGGAGACTCAGTCATATTAATGCTACAGTAAATGTAAAATATTTTTAATTTACAGAGTGCTTTAGGCCCCAACTGGGAGGTAGGGGGAAAGGCTTTGGAGTGAAGTTAATAAACCTTTTAAAACTTTTGACTGAATCTTTTATTCAGTGTTTGTATAACTCAGTTATCTGCTAGTTAATACCAGTATTTTTGATACCTCTCCAGAGCCAATACATGACAAACCTTCAGCCCTGTTGGGTATTTGTGCTACAGCATATTTAATAGCCATGACAACAATTCAACAATTGTATAGAAGCCTCCCCTCCCTGTCTGAGTGTTGCAGGCACCAGAGTGTCTCCATTGGAAAACCCCTAAACATACAGTTTCAGCCAAAACTGGCTTAATGATAGTCTACTGAGAGCTTGACGGGCTTTTTTTTTCCCTTTAAAAAAAAAAAAAAAAAAAGGGGAGGGGGGCACTTTTTTCCCTCCCCCCCCCAATTTTTTTTTCTTAACTTCTTCTCTGCTTTTGTGAAAGCTGCCGCTGTAAAACACAAGGCAAATTAAAAAAAAATAAATTGCCTTAAGTTGCTTAACAGGCTTGATGAGACAAAGCCTGGTGTGTTGGAGTGGCTGCAGGGAGCTCTGCGGCTGCTTTTGTATGATTTCAGAGGTGAATTTAGATGGCTGGAAGATAGATGGGTGCCAGATGCAGTTTGACACAGATTCCGGCAGCTGCTCCTGCGCGAGGTTTCATTAGCGGTGAGTTAGCGAGCAGCGGAGCGCCAGCGAGGCCCCCAGTGCTGCGCTGACAGCACCAGCCCTGAAACAATACAATATTCGCTAAGTGATTTTAATCTGGGAGATTAAATGACACCCAGTTGGTTTCCCGACTTAGAAAGCCAACACAGTAGAAAGCTGTTCGTGGCACTCACTCTACCCGGGCCCTTGTCACATACATTTACATTGAGAGTGCTTTCCCGAGCCCCTCGTCCTGAAATGGGTAGAGAAGGGTTGATTTTGTGTTGCAGACATATTTTTCCATCCTCACTGTATAATGTGCTTTTAACTACAACAGGAAACATTGGCCTCACTTCAGCAAATGCTTACATTGGACCGAAGTACTCGCGTGCTCCTGCTAGGCGCAGGCCAAACGGTTTGAAAGATTAGGGCCATGGTCTGTAAAGTGAACGGCTTCCTTTTTAATAGATGGGCAAGTCCCAAAATCAGGAAACAGTCAGTATTTATGGGCTTGGGCAATTGAGTTTGGTTTTAAATAAACCAGTGTACTACAATGGATGACTTGATAGAAATGGTGGAGGAGCTGCTGTTCTCCAGGCAGATGAAGTTTTATTTGTGGAGGTACACTAAATATTAGGACTTGGTGAAGGGAGAGTAAATGGAATCAAACTTATTTGCACTACAACCCAGGCCTGACTTCAAGATTCTTCTAGGGGGACTTCATGGGCTGTATTTTGGGAACCCTAGCTGTAGTGCATTAACTGTGTGGTTATTCAGGCTTTCTATATATTTTGTGTATCTCTTAATTGCTTCAGCAAGTAAATCCCTGACTAGGAAAAAAAACAAAAAAGGTTTTCTCCTCTGATAGATGGGGGGAAATATGTAGAGAAGCAAACAAACAAAATCTCTTTTCTTTCACGTGTGCCACCTGAATTTTGCCTTTACATATTTAACTGTTGATGTCAAACTACTCTGTTCACTTTGAGTCATTTACTATCCTCACTGTAAACAGACAAACTAGGCTTTTTTTTCCCCCTCCAATAAATATGCGAGTTGGATGTGTATGGGCTGCTGTCTTTGGATCTCAACAGTTGTTTGTTTGTGCATGTTACAATTCTGTTTCTAGATGCCTTTGGTAAATACCCCATGCATGGCTTCAATTAAGCTTTCTATATTGAGAAAGTATGCCTTAATTTATCAGGTTAAAGATATCTCTGTTACATCAATTTGTTCACAGTGTGTTGTGACCTAATCAACTAGGGATGTAAGCCATTTCATGAGGAGTAATTACTCAACAACAAAAAATGTCTCTCTCTCCTAATAGCTGTGAGTGAGTTGGCTAATTGGAATCCATTTTGATAGTGGCAGGTCAGCAATCAGGAGGTGGCTTTCCTGGCTGGCTTCTAGGTGGGAGGGAGAAGGCAGCAGCAGCAGAAACACAGAGCTGTGGTTTCCTCAGGTCACTGGGAGAGCTTCTCTCCATTGGATCAGTGTCACATGTGCTGGCATCAGGGTGTCCTTGTGATCCCCTTTACCACCAATGCTGTGACAGTTTGGTCAGAACCCTTTCCTGGATATTTTTGAGGGAAAGAATTCATGAGTGGGTTGGAAATGCCAGATCTTCTTTCAAGACTTGCAAAAGAGTTCTGGTGTTGTTATTGTTAGTGGGGGCAGGGGTCTGCAGTGATGTGACAAATCTCCATGGCCTGGCTAGGCCTTGGTCAGGAGATGATGTGAAGTTTAGGGGTGATGGCTCGTTATGTCTCTACTCAGATTGACTTATGACAGTGACAGAGCAATTTTTGCTTTCAGTGCTGCATCACTTAGGAGCATGAGCTGCCAGTCCTGCTAGGGGTGACATGCAGAGGCAGATGCAGAGGCATCTTCTAGATGACCCCACTGGTTGCTGTTCTGGTTTCCTACTTGATAGATTATTGAGGTACATTCTGGTTGTTTCTTTTTCTTTTCCTCCCCTCCTTGTCTTCAAACCTTGCTGAGAGGGAGGTGGAGAGGAAAATCCTCATGAATTAACATTATTTCCCTGGTGGGCTTTGCTGCCATTTTATCTAATTACGCCTGCTGTTTTCCAGATCACATTGTAAGCATTTGCATGAAGGGGCTTTCACTTACCTCCTCAAGTAAATTAAATAACAGCCCTTAGGCTGGGCTGACAGCATAATGCATTTTCATGCGGGAGATCAACAGCTCCCATACCTTGAGATGGGAAATGCTGAAATGACAGGGAAGCTCTGTGCTTTTGTCTCAAATTAGGGCAGATAGACAGAGTTAGGGCCACTTCAAAAATGCCCACTGCTGGCTCTTGTGGTGTGTAGGGATTGGTAGGAAGAGAGGGACACATAGGAATCTGCAGAAGGCCACAGAGCACAGACTCAGGAGGATCCACGAGCTACGTGCAAGATGTGCAGGAAAGCCAGGGAAAGCAAGCCTGTTGTCAGCAGGTTTAAATGCACAGCCCTATTGGAAAGCGTGAAGGGATCTGCAAATTGTGGATGATTGGAAGCCACAGACATAAAGCAAATGAGAGGTGCAGGCCCTGCCCCGAGGATGTTTACAGCATGACTTCGTGGATGAGGAAGGCTGGACTTGTGTGGAGAGCTCAGGAAATCAAAACACACGGCCTTGACTTTCATTTCCACAATAAGCCAACCCGTAGTTTCCCTGTGCTTCATTTCTCCAATTTGCAAAATGAGGCTGTAGCCCGTCTGCTGAAGCGACAGTCCGCTGCTTTCCTTGCCTGACCCGTTACTCCCAGCGAGCATCCAGCCCCAGGAATTATCCTTCTGCAAATGTTTCAGTGTTCCCAAAGCCCTTCATGATACCAGCCTATGGGATGATCTGGTCCCTTCACACTCATGTGTGTTACACATCAGAAATGTAGATCTGCCCTTCCCTGGCTGTGATCACTCCTTCATTCCTTTGCTGTAGTTGGGAGCTTCTGAGGAGGAGAATGGATCGGGAATAAATGACCATGAGGAAATGTGTTTCTTCAGCTCCTGATCAGCCCAGGCTTGCCTTGGCAAAAAAGAGGATGTGGATGGGAAGGCAGAGAGACCTCCCCCAGCCACTGTGCTTAGACAAGCTTTGGGTAGCTCAAAATTCTGGTGTCCTCTTGGATTCTTTCTCTACAGGACCTGAAGCTGGGACGTGCCAGGAAGCGGGCTGGTGAGCTGCACGGTGATGCTGAGTCAGCACTTGGGGAGTGAGGAAGAGAAGGAGATGGACTTCAACAGCAAGTAGGGAATTTAATCCCTACTCTGACTTGCTCGTGTTGGTCATGAATGGGGGTCTGCAACAGAAGAGGCTGCTTAGCTTGAGAGGCTGTACCTGACTTATGCAAAGCTCCCACCACATAGATGTTTCACGTAAAGGAAGAAAGGTGATATGTGTTCATCTAGTTCACTGTAATTCTGAGGTGACAGTGACCCTCTCAGTATTACACCTATAATTTTGAAGTACCTTCTAGCTTTTGGTTCCTTTTATCCTGTGTAATTGGTTAGGGATTAAGGAAATCATGCAGATCACTAAGATCTGCTTGAAGGAATCTCCAGTGACTTGCTTTTGTCTAGGGGTCTTTGCTGAAGAAATGTGATTTACTTGTTTTTCTTTAGAAATCAAATTTTCTGTTCCATCAAAACATAGTTCTAGGTTGAAGGTGGAGGAGAGCTAGAAATGTTACTGTGGTGGGTGTGTAAACACCTTTTGACTTACATGTTAAAGCATCTTGGCTCTTCCAAGTAACTAGAGAACTACTTTGTGATGCATTTCTGTGTCTGAGATGAATTTTGAATGCCAGCGAGATAATGAGATTTATCAAATAAAAAGCTTGTCTTTCACTTTGTTCAAGCTTGGCCTCATGCCTCAAATACATGGAGTTTAGCTCAGAAGCAGCTTGTAATTTGTATCACAAAACCTCCGTGTGCAATGCGTGATGGATGGTGGCCACTGGGTGCGGGAGGTTTGCAGTCAGGACGTGCTGACGGCTCCCACTGACATTCCTGCCTGCCCAAAGTGGCTGCAAGGGCCAGGGGACCAGTGAATGGTCACCACGAGGCTACCGTGGGAGGGGCTGAGGAGGTGTTTGCCTTCATAAATCAGGGATTCAGGTTTAATGTCAATCACTCTTTAGCATGAACTTGCGGGATGTTCACGATGCAAGACACAGTGCTGCTTTTAACGTGGATGGGGAGATGATTCAGGACTGATACAGGTGCTTCAGTGATCTGGTAGTATACATCCCATTATCATTATTCACTCACATTATTCACTGTTAGAAAGCTTTCTAACAATTCATATTTCTCAAGCTCTCATCCCCTCCTCTCTCTTTCTAAAAAAACTAATTTAATTTTATTATTATTATTATTCAGATTCCTGCTGTATACATCCCCCAAGCAGGTGGGAGGGGGAGTTGGTGGGTGATGACTTGGCTTTGTTGGAACTTCACTTAATGCAGGGTGGGGGCAGAGAAAATGAAGCTAAATTACGCAGATCCTGAAGGCACAGCTAGTGCACTGCATCACTTGTGAGCATGACTAGAACTGAAAATGAATCACAGCCTTGTTAGACACGGTATGTGTCAGTGCATGTGGGCAGAAATATCATTCAGTGAGAGAGAGAAAAAGACAGAGAGACTACATCTTTTAAAGTGTGCTGGTCCCACTGAAATCTCTGTAGTATTTAACCTCATGGGTGAGAACTGGGGAGCAGTGGGACTGTTCCCCAGGATACTTTACCTTGTCAATTTTTTTTCCTTTCCGAAGGTTCAGAAGGAGTCTAGATTTGTCAGCAGTGACATCTATTTTCTAAACAATAAAAGGCTATAATTGCAAGCTGAAGTTTGAACCTACTGTTGAGGACTTTAAAATACAACCACCCATTTGGGGCTAGATTCAGCTCATGTGTTCATTGTGCATTAGGAAGCAAATGTGATTTGCTCTTTGTGCAAACTTTTGATGGTCGCATGTGCACACGAACACACGGTGCACACACGTGCACACTGGGCCAGTTTGCATATTCCAGAGCCTGGAACTGTAACCCTGGTTCTTGCAGCTGTATAACTCAAACATTCTATTTCTAGAATGGAAATTGGTTTTGCAGTTCAGTTGCAGTGTGACAGAGCCACGTCAGGTGATTTAATGGGGAGATGCTGGAATCAGCTGGCCACTGGAACCTGCTGTATCTGTGTTTGTGTTCCAGAAGATACTTGCCACAAGTGATAGCAACGTTCCTAAAGAGGCTCTCCCACCTCGGGCAGAGACCTATCCATTGCAGCAACAAGCAGCAGCCATCTTAAAATTCCCCCCTTGGCACACTAAAACCACATTTTTGCAAAGGCAGATGGAATCAACCAGTGTATTCTTCAAGGGATTTTGGTTGTACATTTTTGAATGTTGTGCTCGGTGCCTGTGCTCAGTCATTGGCCTGTTATGTATGATGTGTTGTATAATTTAAAAGCTGATGAATCTAGGCAGTAGCCTGAGTTTTTAATAAGTGGCTAGAGATGTGTGGTTTTTCCTCTATCCCCCTCCCACAGACCAGGTGCTTTGTATTTTCTGAACATGCAGTGGTTTTTGAACGTTGTGAAGGATGTAAACTGCAGCTGAGAACACAACAGTGCACCTCCCGTGGCCAAAAAAAAAAAAAAACCAAAACAAAAAAAACCCCAAGGAAAAAAATATAAAACCCCCACCATCAGTAGCTTTCTTAAATCCTGGTCATCAAGTGGCATTCCTAGAATGTCCCTATTTGCTAAATTAAAGAGGGAAAATGAGGCTAGCTTGTGATTTTCTGAGTCTTAATGTGACTTTTTTGGGAGGAAGGCAAGGAATGGATCCGTACGTGCGACAAGTTAAAAATAATTTTTAATTACTTGGAGTAAGAACATGTTCTGAAAAGTAAAGATTTTGGACCTAATGTGCATGGAACAAAAGGCCGTTGTGAGCTATGTACGAGAGTTGCTGCGAGTTTGTATTCTGCCCTTTTTTTTTTCTGTGGGAGTTATTTCCTGTTGTTGACTAGAGTTCTTTATTTAGAACCACCTAGCTTCTGAATGACGGCTCGCTTGCAAGAAGAAAAAGTGTGATTAAAACTTGCTAAGGCTTATTCCAAGATCTCCCTACTTCCATTTATTTAAGGGAAATCTTTGCTAAATGAAAGAAAGTGAAGTTCAAAACAACAAATGCATTTTCTTCTCATTATTGCGCCAACATCGGCTGTGGCAGCTAGAAAAAAGATCTTGGGAAGCTGAGGTCTTTCACCTGAACATCTCATGGAAGGCAGTGTTTGTCTAAGAGGTGATTTGGTTTAGGTTGTTCTGGTTTTAAGAGACAAACCCATCAAATGCCAGGCCTCCCTTTTTGCTGGCAGGAGTAATGCACTGACGTTCTTGGGGGCAGTTCTTTCTATGAACCCCACAGGTCGAGTGAGGAGCGGGCACTTGCACTTTCCCAGCTGCTCAGAGAAGGGTTTCTTTGAAGAGCACTGCCAGCAAAAAGTTTCTGTATGCTGACCTGCTTGGCAATAGTATTTGGGTATGTGTGTGGAGTCAAATTATCATCACTTTGACAGCTGCCTAACTTCTTTTGCTCTTGTGGCAGGTCTGAACATCCAGTGAGAGTACAGTAAAGTTAGCAGAAAGCAGATTCAGATGGAAAAAGAAAAAAGAAAGATTTAACATGAAGATTATCTCTACTGTAGGTAATAGGTAAGCAGGCAAAGTAGCTGGTGTTTATTATGACTTTTTTTTGCTTAGCAGGAAATGCACTAGGAATGTCCCCTGGGTGTGGATGACTAGAAAATGCACTGGGGCATGAGTGATAGCAGATGGACAATCATCCCTCCTTGGCTTGGCTGGCCCCTTGCTGTGAACCTCTGGCAGAGGGTGCCTCTTTCTGCCCAGCTCTTGCAAAAGCTCTGGTGGTGCCCCTCTCTGCAGTACCTGGGGCTGGCTGCTCTGGGTGGGCAGAGACTTCACTCGGTGGGCAGGAGTTACAGCTCAGTCGTTGGCACCTTCCCTTCTACAAATGAATCCGACAGAAACTGGTTTGCAGAGTTGAACCTCTGTAGGAAAGTGGATCTCTGTGAAAGACAGAGGGGTTTGGGAGCCTTCTGCCCATGCCACGTCTGCTGGGGAAGTTTGTGGCTGGGAGAAGAAGCAGGGAAAACCTCAGTGCTACACCTCGTTTTGCTTTCTTCTCCTGCTGCTGTCCAGTGGTCAAACAAGAGAAGACCCTGGACTCAGTAGCAGCACCATCAGTGGGAATGCAGCTCATCCTCCTCATTTCGTGGGTCCACTCCTTTACCTTGACTTGTTTCCCTCTGTACTCCAATTATGTCTCTGTTTTGCCCCCTCACCAAGGCTAAAATAAAAATAAAAAGGGACAATTATTATTGTTTGAGCAACCTGCTTATATGGCTGTCACAGAAAGCCACCATAGTTTATGCCACATGCGGCACCTTCTTCCCTACTGCCATGCCATCCCTGCTCAGGACATCTCTTTTCTTTCTTGCTTGCTTTCTTGCTTTCTTTTCTTCCCCTACTATTTTCTTCTGCATCCCTGTAAATTCCTGCACATGCTATGTCTTATGGGTGTGACCAGACAGGAGAGCTGCCCCTTTCCTCTTCAAGGACATTAGCACCCCAGAGTCACTGTGGGAGGAAGAAAGAGACCATTAAGAGGTGTGAAAGGAAGGGGACTCTGATGATAAATGATGGATTTTCAGTTTTTTTCCTTTGTCCTGTTGGTAGGACCTAAATGCTGGGTGGGTTTGCAGTGATTTAATGTTTTATCCTTGCTTGGGAATACTAATTAGGTGTAAACCTCTTTTAGCCTTTGGCTAATGGTCACTATAAATGAACAGCTTCCTTGAAAGTAAAAGAACATATAAAAAAGGTTAGAGGAGAACCTGAATTAATTTGTGCAGTTCCCTTTTTCTTCAGAAAGATAAAATGCATTTCTGATGGTTATGGGGTGGTTTTAGGTAGAGTTAAGAAATGCAGACATCACCCACAGTCTGTTTACCTGCATATGCAGTATGAGCTTCTGCTGACTCTTAGCCATGCTAGCACTAGGGAATGTAGAAAGACAAAATGAATCATTACCACAGGCATAGTCACTAAAAGCATCTGATGTACTCATTCAGTCTTTTTTTTTTTTTTTAATCTCCTTTTTGCACATAATCTAAGGAGTTACACATTTTGTGAAGGGTTAAAACAGAAAGATTTGTGCATTCACTGCATTGACTCAATGAGTTCAGTTCTGTATGAACTTCAATTATTTGTAGAGGAACAGAATGGCAGTGGGAGTTAATGCTGCTACATTTGATGTTCTTGTGCTAGGTTTTCTGCCAGCTACTTTTTTTTTTCTTCCTCTTCTGAATTTGGCCCTACAGATTCAACTTCTGTTTTATTGGGTTTGTTGGTTTTAGCTTTTTGCTTTTTTTGTAAAGAAGTGGTGTAGGTCACTTACTGTTTACTTAAAATTAGACCCTCAGAAACCTCTGTCTGAAAGGAGTACAGATAAACATCATCTGTAAAGAATTTTGCACCTGGGACAGCCAGAGAAAGGATTTATCTTTGCAAATTTGAATTACTTTGAAAAATCCTCTGTCTTGATAAGTATTCTTTGAATCTAGAGGCTCTAAGAAGCTGCAGAAACTAGTTTTAAATAATAGGCCCAAGCCCCCAAATCTGCATAGAAGCATTAATGTGCTTTACAGGTTGTATTCCAGACAGCAAAAGCAGCTATGGGTGAGTGCATTCATTTGGATGTCCATATATTAACTCATGTTTTCATATAAATAAGGATGAGATAGCTTGATGTTGGTTTGGCTTTTGTTTTGCTTTTTTTTGTGGTAATGCATCTGAGCACAAACACATTTAACTCCAGTGACATGGTTTAAGTCCTGCTTAACATATTGAAATGCTGTGTGACATCCTCCATCAGCACTGTAGCCACAAGACCATTTCAGTTGTGCCCTCCTAGCCTCCAACTCCTTGTAAATGTTGTACAATGCTGTAATGCAACAAATCTGAGCAGGAACATCCACTTCTAGAAGCCTCTGGTCACCCTGCTGGTGGCCCCATTGGTCTATCAAGCCTTTGGCATCTGAGCAGGATTGAGCAGTGCTAAACATATTCCGGCCTGCCTATGCACCCAGGCCTCTTTCAGGTTTCAAGAGCTTTTAGGAAAAGTGTGGGGAGCATCTGTGCTCCAGAAATGTATGGCTCTACGGAGAGCTTTGTAGGAGTAGCTTTGCTTCAGGAGAGGGCTGTAGTCTGTGCAGGGTAAGCAGAGCAGTAGAGCTGTTCTCCCCTGGTGAGCAAGGAGCAGGTGGTCCCTCAGCACTGGGGATGTGGTGGTGACCTTTGTGCTCAAGTGTGTGTGGCTTGCACGTTGTTAAGATTTTCAGGCTCGTGTTGGGTTTGTGCTCAAGGCTGGTGGGTGGCCCAAAGTCTTCTGGCTTGATTGCAGCGACATCCGTTTACACCAGTGGTTAATTATGCCTGAAGACTGGCCATCTCTATTTTTTCCCCACTGTTTCTGTGTTTTTTCTTGATTAGAAGTATTGCCTCCTCAGCTCTAAAACAGAAGCTTTGGTTTTATCTGCAGATTTTTTACCCCTGTGATCCACTGGCCCTGGTGTGAGATGAATATCAGGACATCAGCGTAGCCTCTCTTCAAAAAAGTAACCAAGTGTTCCAGAAAAGAATGACTTGTGCTTTTGATAGAGACTGCAGAGTGAGCATTGAAAGGGAAAGAAAAGCAGCCTGAAATTGTTTAAAACTCAGCTCAGTGCAGAGTACAATTCACTGTGTCACAAGAAGCAAGATTGGAAAGGGGAGACTGTTTTAGGAGCCTGTGTGCCATACAGGCAGTGCCAGTGTGAACAGTCTGGCTTGGGCCAGGAATGAAGCACATTTTGCAGGGGATGCAGCCTGAACAGGATTTGGAAAGGAGCACAGATTTTTATGAAAAGGCAGGAAGATGTGAGGAGATCCACAGCAATGGTAGGCAGCCTGAACCTCTGTCAGAGGACAGTCTTTCAGCTGGAGCAGGGATGATGCACACCAACAGTCTCCAGAGGACTGGGAGTGCGCAGGGAATTACAGAGGGAGGGAGTCATCTCCGTGCATGAGGAATGCAGCAAAACCTCCTCTGACTAAGCCAGCTAATGCACACTGCTTTTTTTTTTTTTTTTTTCTTTCCTGATAATCCTGTTCCATAATATTTCCTTAATAATTTAGTATGTGAAGAGTAGCCCTTCTGAAAAACATCTAAATCACCAAATTTTACAATCAGATGAAACCTTGCTTACCCCTGTCGTTCATACACACTGGGGATTTTTATTTGGTATGGCTATTTGAGAGCAATCCTGGAGTTAAGAGTTGGGGTTTTTCCCTTAATTACTTAACGAATTTACCATGTGGCACAACCCTTGGTACTGCCAAGCAATAGCTTCCTATTACTAGACTGTGCAGGCCTGATCCTGCATTACCAAAGCCAAAAGCAGTATTTGGGAACTGACATTGTCATCAAAATCTGTAGGAAGCTTAGAATAACTATACAAAAGGGGTTAGTTGCACTTAGAATATTGATTCATGAGCTCCCTCATTTTTTGCATCGCTGTTCATTTTACCCAAAGAAGATCAACTGCCCAACTGGACATATAATATATGATACTGCATTAGAACTAAGGCTGCATTTGGTCATACTCATTAATTAAACTGATTTCTCCTGTAGGTTTTTTTTTTTTTTTTTCCTGGAGAACTAACCGAGAATGATAATTAAGCATATTATGCATTCTAGGGAATGGTGTTTCTCCTACTGCCACAAAAACATTAAAGGAGAAAAATATGAACTAAAGCAGAAAATGACGAGGGGAAAAGAGCTAAAACTGGAGTGAGAAGGGGTAGAGCATTCCTTCATTTGGTTTTTACTGACTCCTGTGCCTTGGGACACATGGGGCAGTCTTGTTAGAGTGGAAGAGTAGCAGCAGCAAAAAAAGAAGACAAAGCCATTGAAATCCCAAGGAAAGCAGCCCAGCTCCCAGGTGCAGCTCCCTCTCTGCTTGTGTACAGGTGCAGTAATGCAGCACCCCAGTTTTTTACTGAGGAACTTGTTTTTATTTGTGGCTGAGCCTCACACGAGAAGGGCCCTACTCCTGGAGGTCAGTGCTGAGCTTGAAGAGAGACTGCACGAGGCGTGGGCAGTGTTTAACTGTGCCTTTGCTTGCAGTGTGCTTTCTCCTTACCCAGGAGAGCCTCTCTGCCCAAGAGGAACGAGCAGCTCTGGCTGTAGGCAGGCCCTTTGTCTAGTTTCTCCTAAGGTACCAGTGCTGAGGGGGTCTTGATTTGCAAAAAGTTGTCTGCTCTGGTGGGCCTGCTAGCTTCTGCATGCACCAAAGCAAAAACATCCAAGGAGAAAATGAAGTTGTGTTGAACAATTACCTGATGAAATCTCATAGTATTCATATGTACTGCAATCAGAAAGGAAAAGGCCAAGGATGCAATTAGAAGCATAGGAAGCAGTTCACTCCCTCTATTTTTGAAAAGTGCAAGGGATGCCAACATTCCAGCACAAACTTTGCCGCTCTTTCCTAATTAGCACGCGTGTTGATGGGCAGATTACCTGGCAGTCTGTAGTGTTTCTAATTAATTGATTTATGAAGTCCAGTGTCTGTTTCCCCCTTCCCAATCTTTGATTTCTGTTTGTTCATTTATTACCTTGTTCATTTATTTATCTTCAATGCAGAGGTGTTTTTTGAATGATCTTCATGAGACCTGGCCTCAATCAGACAGGCTTTGACCATCCTTGCTCAAAGACAGGGCTGCACTCAGGCCATGCCTGTAGCCAAGCCAGGTCGGTACTGCTGCAGAAAGACTCAGCTCAGCTCCTTCTCTTTTACTGTGTCATCTTCACATGTCAGCAGCTCAAGGGCCTCTGTCAAGGCTACGGCTGCACAACTAAACCTGTGCTACTACTCCCTGGGAAGCCCATGCATGCATGGTTCTGAAATGGAATGCATTTTGGGTGGCTCCTTGCAGACGCTCAGGCTTTCCCCCACTCCCGCTGGCTCTGGAAACCTCTGCCGACACACAGCACAGCATCTTGTGGCTCCATTGCAGGCTGCTTCCCCGTGCTTACTGAAGTGTTTGGGCCAACTGCATTTGGGTCTTGCAGACACCTTCGGGTCAGGCTCCTCCGGAGCTGCAGAGTTTCTTGGCCAGAAAGGTCTCGCTCAGTCAGGTGTGGGGCCATGTGAGGAGCAGCCGGCAGTGGGATTATTCCCCTTGCGTAGCCCAAGCTCGTCCCGCCGCGCTGGAGCCTGTGCTGGGCACGAAGCACAGGAAGGAGCTCTATTCATATCGATTCCTATCGTGACCTATGCTCAGCTGGGAGTGCTTCTGAGTGTGGATGCAGGTTGTACTAGTTGTGTTCAGAGGCACAAGCTGAGTTACAGCGTGACTGTAAACTCCTGCCAAGAAAGACTCGGGAGAGTTACAGTAGGAAACAGAAGGGGCGGCGAGCTTTTTCTTATGCTGCTGTAAAATTGGAGCAACCCAGAGAAGTCAGAAGCGTTTAAAACTCGAATGACACAGGCTCAGGCTTTTTACTGCCGACTCTACCATGGCAAGAGCGGGGCTGTGCACATCGGGCTGGAGCCCAGCTGCTTATTTAGCAAATGTTTGTGGTTGTGCCTCTGGTGCCGGTGATAGCGTGCACACACCCAGGCACGGGGACTGTGAACCTGCTGCGGACTTTGAGCTCTGCAAGGCAGGCGCTGCTGGCTGGGCGCATCCCCGCCGCGATTGCGCAAGGCCAGATCCCGCCGGGTTACAAATCTGCTCCAAAGGAGGGTGGAATGGGGCCCCGAAATTCAGTGAATCTGGCACGCAAAAAAAAAAAAAAAAAAAAAAAAAAAAAAAAAAAAAAAAAAAAAAAAAAAAAAAAAAAAAAAAAAAAAAAAACCCAAAAAAACCCCACAACCAAACAACCCAGCCAGCAATGTGCAAGTATTACAAATATTCTCTGTGGCATTTGAGTAGGCAGAAGCCCACTGAACAGGTATTACTCAGGCTCTAAAGAAGATGAACCTTTTCCTTTTATTTAGTGATTTTATTGTGACGCTGGTAATTGCAGGGAGAGACTCGTTTCCCCAGGCAGAAGGACCAAATTTCAGTGCCTTGCTGCTGGAAGGTATCCAGCCAGGGAGATTCTGGTTTTAATGTTTGCCAGCTCCTGGGCAATTCGCAAATCACTCGTCAAAATCTAGTAAATGGCTCGTGAATTGCTTTGCAGATTGGTTTAGCGCTAACTCTGTGCCATAGATACGGGTTGAGAGAGCTTGGATCTCCTCAAAGGAATGCCTGATGGCAAGGATGGAAAGGGAGAGGTGTGCTGAGGCCTCCACACCGGCAGAATAGAACGTCAGGTTTTAGATCTGCTGCCCTTTCCGTCCTTTTCAGTGAGTTCAGCAAAGTGCTCAAGTGCCAGTCCTGGTGTTTTAACATCAATTTGATGGGGCCTTTTCAATTCCAATTTTAAGAATCAAAAAAATCAGCACATAGTCTCCTTTTATTTTGGCAGATTCACTATTTTAATTGTTTGGTGATGTTTTTCCTTTGTGGATTTTTTTTTTTTCAGATACAGTTTCCACGGTAAGGAAACCTTTATTCCAAAGGTATCATTTTCCTTTTCGGTTTTCTAACTGAAAATGGAACTTAGTTTCTAGCAAGACCATCATCTTGATTGATCTCAAATCATTACAGACCGTTTTGAGCATAATACCTAAACGAGTTGTGGTATTAATGACTAATAATCGCCTTTATATTAGGTCTTAAAGCTTTATTGTCCCGAAGTACAACCGGTTTAGTGGAACATGAAAGGCCGGAACGATCCGAGATGCCTGCTGGGGCTAGAGCCAAAACTATAAGGTGTTTGAATCGCCTTTAACAGCGCCGGCTGGGATTACAGCCCCTTTCGAAACTCAATCATTGAGGTGACTTAAAATAATCATCTTCTTTCCAGATAGCGCCTGGTGCCGAGCGCTTCCCTCCTTCCCCCAAGTCTTGGCGCGCTCGAACATCTCCGTTTGGCCTCATTTTTGTGCTTCGCTGGTACCTGCACGGCCCAAATTAGCAGCGAGGATTCCACGGACGGGGGCCGGCGCCTCCCTCGGCTCCCAGGTGAGGTCCCGGGGCGGGGGGCGCTCCGGGCTTCCCCCACACCTCCACCCTGCTGCGCTTGGCCGGGCCGGGGGCTGCCCGGAGCTGCGGGGGGAGAGTTTTGGCTCGTACCGGGACAATCAGGGGCCAGCCCCGGCCGGGTCCCCTCCACCGGATAGCGGGGATACTTGTCATATTTGCGGTCGGGGCGCGCTGGCACCCGCCTTTGTGCCGGCCCGGCGCTCCCCGGGGAAGCCGCGGCGGCTGCGGGGGCCGCGCCGCCCGCTCGGGGCCGGGGCACGCGTGGGCAGCGCGGGGAGCCGGAGCGGGGGAGGAGGAGGAGGAGGAGCAGCAGGAGCAGCCGCGGGGGTTGGGGGGGCGGGGGAGGAAGGCCGGGGCCGAGGCGGAGCTTTGACGCGGGCCGGAGGGTGAGGAGCTCGCCGGAGCCGCCCCTGTCGTCAGTGCTGGCGGCAAGTGCTGGGAGCCGGGGCTGGTGGTGCCTCCTCCTTCTCCTCCTTCCTCTCCTCCTCCTCCATTGTATAATGCTGCGTGATCGCAGCCGCCGGGGCAGAGCGGAGGCTTAAATCCTCACGCCGCCTGCTCCTGCCTCCTCCTCCTCCTCTTTTCCTCCTCCTCCTCTTTTCCTCCTCCTCCGCATCCCACCCGGCCCCTCCCCGGAGCGGCGCGGCGAGGAGCGACATATGGAGCTGCTCTAGGGCGAGAGTTTCCGACCTCCCCCTCTCCATGCTTTAGTTCTCAGGTGGAGCTGCATGTGGTGAGTGGGGCTGGGGGGCTGCGGGGCATCGGGGGCGGGGGTGGACGGGACACGGGGCGGCGACACTCCCCCACCCCCCTCTGGCTTTGCGAGTCATCGGGGCTTGTTTTATCTCTACCTTTAAATTGGTCCCCGGGCAGAGGAGCCCGGGGCGGGGATCCTCCCCCTCTCCTCCGGGGTGGGGAGGGGGTTCGTGCTGAGATGAGCAGAGGAGGGAGAGCGGCGAAGTTGACCTTAAAATCCGCCCCCTCCCCCGCCGATGCGGGGGGATCCCGAGCCGAAGCAGGTGCGGGGAGCTGGAATATACTTTTTTATCGAGGTGGCCGTGCCGGCCCCGGTAGTGCGGCCGGTTGTGCTCTCCGGAGCCGGGCTCCCTCGGACGCCGCGGAAGCCGCGCCGCCCCGGTAAGTTCGCGTGTGCGCCCGGAGCAGGGCTGCAGCCCGGCTCCCTTCTCCCAGCGAGAGCGGCGGATTCGGGGAGCCCCGAAAAGTGCGTGCTGTCGTGCCGGGGCAGCTAAAAGGCTTGGGGGGGACTTTCACTCCGCTGAAGCAAAGCTGACATATGGCCGGGCAGGAGCCGGCTGGCCCCGCTGCCCGGCCCTTTTCAGGGGTTGGTGTTAGGGCTGGGGATTAGCCTGTCTTTTCCCGGAGCAATAGCGCGCATGGGTCTTCCTTGGGAGCACCGCCAGCACGGAGAGACAGAGGCGTCTGGGGGGGGATTTTGTGACTTACGTGGTTTATCTTTTGGAAGCGACGGCAAAAATGTATATTTATTAGGATTTTCTTCGGGGTGGATGAACACTTGAAGAAAAAATCCTTTTGCGGTGCCACTTCTGCTTTAACTCACATCAGGATCTGGAAAAATAAGTTCTTCCTAAGCATGAAAATAGGAGTACAGTTACCTGCTGTCATTTCTTGCATTTTGTGAAGCGCAGCCGGAGAACCCAGGGCCGCTTTAGTTGGAAATCTATGGAGAGGCTTGTGTGCTGTCCAGTGGGCCCCTTGGTGGCTGATTTACAGCTGTGGGTCAGCTGCTGGTGTAAAATAAAGCGAATCTGCCCATTTTATCTCCATCCGGGGGAGGGCTGTCAGCTTCTTCAGCCGAACTTCAGTGCAGCACGCCAGAGCTGTTGCGTGTGGCAGCGTGTGCTCAGACAGATCCAAGGCTCTCGGGAGCAGGGAAATCCAGGCTTTTTCATCTGCTGCCTGGTGCAGTCATCAGGGTGACTCTCGCTGCCGTCAGTGAGTGCTGGATTTTGCCATTCTAGAATGCACTATTGCTCAAGCAACGGTGGCAGAGAGCTTGGCTGCCCCGAACACCAGTTTTATATTTGTGTCTCTCCAATGAGTGCACACGTGCAGTGTGTGTGAGCTCAAACAACGCTTTCTGCCTTTTTTAAATTCTGATCATTTTAGGCATGCATCTGCACAAGTGAAGGTTCCTGTGTCTTATGGACTTTTTACAGGGTATGGAATTGACAGAGGCACCTCAGTTTGCATCTAAAGGCACAGGAAGCTTTCACATGGCAAAACAAGCTGTAAAAATGAATTGTGTTTTCAAATGATTGCTATAGAAATTAGCCAACCGATTTAGCAGCGTAAATTGAAAGTAGCCCTTTCTGGCTGAAGTTAAAATGCATGCATTTTACATAATAGGATGGTGTCTTCGGGCTCTGATTTAACATAATGAACCAGTGGTGGTGGTACAGATGGGAGAAGGATTAGGAGTTTGTGCTGCTGGACAGGTATCCAAGAGCATTCCTTCGGAATATTTCCATTGTTCAGGCAAGTATTGCAGCATCCAATGTAACAGCTCTAGATATCCCTCCTCGCGTGACTGATCCTGCTTCCATTTAAGTTGGTAGCAGCAACCACCCACTCCTTTTCTGCAGGAACTGGATTGGACTGCTGAACGAACGAAGCTAGACTTTGTGCATATTAAAAACACTGCTTTGATTTTTGTGTCGAGCTGATTTCTCTGAAGCTGATTGGAAACAAACAAAAAGAAACTTGATAGCCATAGGTCCCTCAGGTTTTGTCTTAAAGAGCATTAAATACATCTGTAGGTGCTGATTTATTAAGAGTTGTAATTGTGTTCCTTTATACACCTGCTCTTTTTAATGGGAAGGATGAAATAAAGAGTTTCACAGGGGAAATAATAACATAAATATACCAAGTGCTCAAATTGTTTGCCTGAGAGGCATCAAGGACTTTGAGATAATGTTCTAATAGCAAGGAAACATTCAAACTTCATATTCAAAATTTATTTTTTTATCTTCCATGAAGTACAGCAGGTTTTATGCAATATCTAGTTTGAAGGATTTTGCCATCATTCACACAAGCTGCTTTTAGTTTTTCAATAAATATTTCATTGGGAAAACATTTTTTTTTTTTTTTTTAAGGAACTCTGATTTTTTTCGCACTGATGTAAAGCACTCCTGGCACAGTTCATCTCTGGCAGTGCTAACACTAGACAGGTGATCCAAAGTATTTGTGACTATTTTTGCTTTTATGTAACATCTTAAAGTGTAATCTGTCAAACAAGGAGAATGCAGCCCTTTGAAAGTGCAAGTAGTCTTCTGGTGATCTACTTCTTACAAGGGCCAGGTAGCAAGAGAGACACCTTCTTTTAACTCAGCTCTGTAGTGTAAGTGGCTCACAAGGAGACAGCTCCAGTTGCAGTGGTTCCTTAACAGGCACACGAATCAGTGCCAGAAATAGCAGCTTTCAGTTACCAAGTCCAAAGATCAGGAGTGTTTCAAAGGAGAGAGCAAGGTCCAGCTTCAATGTGAGCAGGTTGGCACGAAGCAGAGATCTTTAGTCTTGATGAATCTTTTGCTAATTAATGGTTTGTGGAAGATGAAATTTGCCAATCTGAGCACAGCACTCATTTTCTTCAGGGGTGTATAATTGCATGTTTTCTGCCACATCTTTTGATTTCTAAACTTTCATCAGTCAGAGAAACTGCTGTCATGAAGAGGTGCCTGTTTTCTATAAATGGAGAGAGACTCAACATGCGTTAGTTCTTCAATTCTTTTATAAACAGAGTCAATTTTTGTGTTTGCTGTATGGAGGCTTCAGGTTTGTTCAGCATTACCAGTGCAAACACTATAACAAAAATAAGATAACAATGCTCAGCTGTTTGACACCAGTGGGGAAGGCAAGGCCAGGTAAATGTTGTGCTAACGTTGCTCTTGGGTGTGCTGAAGTGTAGCCCAAGCTGAGGACCAAAGCAAACGTGTGGCTGGGAGACAGCAGAGGTTCAGTGGGAGAAACAGCCTTGTGTGTCCCTGCCCTGTCTCCTGGCTGTGTGGGCATTCAGCTGTGTGTCACACAGAGTAGAAGCTGCACTGCCACCACGTTTGCCTCCCCCACGGCTCCTGGTGAGCATGTCAGATCTGGCTGTCATTGCCAGTGGCAGGAGGAGCTGTGAAGATGTGCTGCCTGGGACATTCCTCCAGAGCAGAGGGGATTTTTGGGGTGGGGAAGACCCGATTCGGAGGGCATTTCCAAGGGAGACTTGGGGCAGTCTCCAGGGGCATTGGGTGCAGCCTCAGGGGCCTTCAGAAAGGGCTTTAAGCTGTGACTAGGGGTGGGAAGGCTTGAAAGGCCCCAAGAAACTGTCAAGTCACCAGAGAGCAAGTTTTTGGTTTTCATGTGTCCCTTCTTTGAGGGTGGAGGCTCATCTAGCTCAGGTGAGACAGCAGCCACCACCACGTCAGAGTGACACTGGATTCAGGCTGCTGCAGTGAAATTAAAACCATGCTCAGGGCCCTGCATTAGGTTAGGTCAGACCACTGGTCTTCAAATGAGGAGCCAAGTCTGGTACCCTCCTCATCTTGGAGGTGTTAAAAATAAAATAATCCTAAAATCAGAGGTGTTGCCATAGAACGTCTGAAGTTCCAACCTGTATAACATGAGCAGTGTTTTGAGTACCAGTGGTTTTAAAGACAAATTTCTCTTTAATATCACTCTGGAATTGAGTTTTAAGTGGCATTGAATGACATGAGTCTCAGTCTGTGTAATTATTAGGAGCCAGAACCTGTTTACTTTGTTTCACACCAGTAAGGTGTGTTGGATTTCATCTGACAGTTGTTTTCAGTGAAGTTAGACTAAAAATTGAATTCTTGATATAGTAGAATACAGAGAGAAAAGTTCAAACATGGGTTGTTTTCTTTTAATGTTATTTTGAAAACTGGGTGGTATATGGAAGTAGCAGAAAAAAGAAGTTCCCTTTTTCAAGGAGTCCTGAATTAGTGGAAAGATCTAAACTTGCCCTAATACTTCCTCAGATGTAACAATTAAAACTGTTTTTCGTGATCCCAGATTTTCCACCCCACCCCAGAAACCCATGAGCTGTTTGAACCGCACTCACCTTTAATGGAAATGTGGCAATTATTGGCTGTTTTTGTACAGTTTCTTATAGTAGCCTGTAACATTACTCTGAAAAAACCCTCCTGTCTTGCCAGGCAGGCAGTAAGGTTGAGTGAACTGTGCTATAGCAAGAACCACCCATGATTGGAGGTAAACTATGCGGATATATGTTGGGGTGGAGGTTGAAAGGAGCGTGGAGGGCATATTTGAAGCAGACTGTGCAACTGCTATAGCAGGTCTGACTAGTTTGAGATGCCTAAAGGCAGCTTTGTCTTAACTTCAGGTAGCTGCAAAATGAAGTTTTAAATCCTAATTCAGAAATTCATCATCATCATCTTCCGGTGCCTCCTCAAACTTTACTTTTCATGTGTTTTTACAGGCTCTTTCTCCCTTGGAAAAAAAAGCCTTTAGTAGGTACACATCCACGTGCATGCATATCATTTGCATATTTTTCAAATATACATTTCATCAAGATAGGAGACTAGCGTTTGTGTGCAAACCACAGTGTTTTTTTTGAGCAGTGGTGGTTACATTTTGCTTTCTCACTGCTCTGTGGGCCTCGTGTGAGACAAGCCACTCTACTTCAGCACTTCTGGCATGGCCTGATTTGCTGCAGGTCGGGTCTCCTGCCTGCTCCTGGCCCTGTGTGGGAGCAGTGCCTTGGCTGGTCGCAGGGATTTTGACCAGGGTACTTCCATGCTGGTGTCCCAGGGGTCCAAAAACCTGCTTGGGTTACCCTGCTGGGACCTGGCTCCCCCTTACCCCCTCCTGTTCCATCTGCTTGGTGAAATTAGTTCTTCTGAACCCTTCCACTTTCCTTCCCCAACTAAACTGTTCCATAAATAGCTTGTGAATGAATACAAGAGGGAGAATATTTTCTCTGTGTGTGACACACAGTGTCAAGCTTCCTGTGGCTGCTCTGCTTCCCCTTGCTGGCAGGGGCACACACGTGATGTGTGTCTGCTTGGATGAGGACTTTAATTGTGGGGAAAATCAGTATAGTACTATCATGGGTGAGGTGAGTGGGTTGTGCCTGACTGAATATGAAATAAAGTTTCAGACATTTAGTTTCCTGAGCTGTTCTCCTCCTGTATTTTCCGCTCCCAATTTCCAAAATCTAAGTTTGTGGTTAAGTTTTTTGTTCTGTGTTAATTAATTGGTCCTAAACATGCTTCAAAATACCTGTTACACTTAATTCATGTGTTGTCAAAATATGCTGTTAAAAGGGAACCTCCATCTAAGCTGAAATGATTTACTTGAAAATGTTTAACTTACTCCACATAGAAGAGACACGGGTCCCATGGTGGCTGTTTTAAAGAACATCGCTTTGGTGTAGTAATTTTTATTGTGAACAAGCAGGTGCCACGAGAAATGGAATCTCTTTTGTGTCTAACTCATGGCTGGTACAGGTTGGGAATAGTTCAAGGTTAGCCAAAGTTCCCTTAATCAGTTTTCAGAAGGCTCCTTTGTAGGACATGGAAACACATGCTGTATTTCAACAAATGCAGGAGTTTTAGTGCACTGGACTGAAAGGCCAGCAGTTATCATCTTGTCCAACATCATTTAACACCATCTGAGCAAACTTTCGTGTCAAATTTTACCTATGTTTTAAAAAATTGTTTTGTTTTCATTGGTGGTGAAGAACAACTTTTTCAGCTCTTTAAGAGAAACTTGTGAGGTGAGTGGATTCTTTTTCACAGAATGTATTTGTTTGCAGGGTTGCGTTCATTTCATTTAAGCAAAAATGTTGGAAACAACTCATGTGCTGTTTGAGCTACTTTAAAAAATGCCAGGGAAACACCTTTCTTTTCTCCTGACTCTCAGTAGTGCAAAACTGGTTAGCAAATGAAATCTGCAGGCCAGATTGACTGAAAAAATGACTTGTCATTGCTGAGATTTGTATGGTGCATTTGCAGTATGTATTTCTTCTGAGGATTTTTTTTCCTTTCTCCTATTTTTCTCTCCTGCCGTTTGCTGCTTTTCAGTTTGACTGTGATAATTTATTCAACACTGTTTTCAGAGCAATAACCTACTTTTTTGGCAAACCATTCAGTTCTTTCAGTAGTATGGGGGTTCCCCCCCCCCCCACCACCATGTGTTTATTAAGGGTCTGTGACAAGGGGGAAAAGCAAGGTATCTTTGGGGAAAAGATGCTATGATAGGATTCAAACAAACTAATTATACATAGGTGAGAAAAACTCCCTTATTCTACATGAAGGGGGTCTCGTCTCTGGGTGGGTGCACACACAATTCTCATTAACCTTTGCAGGAATTGCACAGGTCCAGTGGAGATGGGTGTGCAGTGCTCAGTCCCTAAAAATACCAGGCAGCCCGTGACACGTGCGTGCCACCAGGGATGTCCATTGTTCTGTGAGCCAGTGCAGGGGAGGAGGGATGCACAGCAGGGCTGGCTATTTCATCATTCTCCCTTTGAGCCTGACCAGTAGCATCTTGTCATTACAGGCGTGGAATTTTAGCAGTGAAGAGGGAGTGTGTGGGTCTGTGTGTGTGTGTGTTACTTTCTGGTAGCTGTTCTAGGTGTTTCAGATTGTTTTGGATTTCATTTACAAGCGAGGTGTCTCTTTTTAGGCTGTGCCTGTGCCTGCTGGCTCTGCAGTGGGAAGGAATGGAAGGCAGTCTTGGCTGAACTGGGCCCTGGAGCAGTACACAGCCATCTTAATTGCTGCTGCTCCACCTCATGAGGAGATGGCTCTGGTTCTCCCAGCACGGAGCTGTGTGCAGCGTGGCTCCTGGCCCTCTGACACGGGAATTCGTGGTGTCCTGGTCCTGCCTCTGGGGCCAGCACCTCCTGCTTCCATGCAGGGAGGCCCAGAGTTCTGCACTTGTGGGAAGAAACAGTGCTGTGGAGCAGGAAGAGTTTCTGGGCTGATCCCAGGGAGGCTTGTGTGGAGAAGCCCTCGCATATTTTTTGGGAGTCGACAAGCAGAGGCTGCTGAATAATCAGTTAATCACGTAGTGAAGTCAGGGGATCTGGCCCGGTGCTGTGCCTGGTTTGCTTTACTGCAGCTCTGATTTCCTGCTGCTGATGCCCAGGTGTGTAAAGCAGCTCCTGGTCCTTCAGCAGAGTGCTGAGCCCATGTGT